ACTCTGATTACGTAACTCTGGTACATGTAATCTGTTACTCCCCAACACTGTCGATACCAGAACTAGTATACTCATTTGAAGAAGTAATGATACTGAAAAAAAAAAACGACCCTTTATATCAGAATAAGACACATGGTAATACTGAACAAAAATGCAATGAAACTGCTTTTATTTAATATTTTTATCAACATTGTGGTTTCAAAATGAGCACTTCATCCGTCTCCCACTCGGATCTCGGAGATTACGTCACATCTTTAGACTGTATAAAAGAAGTGGACTATGCGAGTGTGACGTCACCCGTAGTGTTCAGTGCCGCTCAAATGAGGCTCGCCAGGTTCTATGTTATGAATAGGATTTTTTTGACGGACAAAATCGCAAAAAATAATTCAGGATCATACACAGCAGCTTAATACGAACATTTTAAGACCAAAATGACGAGGTTCACAGCAGCAATTTCAGAGAGAGGAACGACAAGATCCTAATGTATGTCAATTGGAGCCAGAGTCAGAAGGAGCCGGAAGATCCTCCTGGCGAACTTCCTATTTGGCAGCTATGTCCACTCATATATATGGTCTATGGTCACGTCCACACTTCAACTGTTTCATTATGTTTCGAGTTGGAGAAAAATGTGGATGCCAACCGGAAAGCTGCTATTGATTTTGTTTATCTTTTGTTAGCAACCCCAAGGGATGTTTAGTAATACCCATTTTAAACACGTATTTGTTCAATATTGGCCTCACCACAACAATGACTACCAAACCCACAGGCAGTGATAAGGACGCAGTAAAGTATTGTAGTGAAACGAGTGACTGAAATTCTCATTTAAACCAGGGGTCCAGCACCAGGGTTGTTTGGTACCGAGCTGCCAAAGTGCGAACCCCCCTCCCGTATGTCGCGCGGACCACCCCCCCTCCCGTACGCCATGCGAGCTGTGCCACTAAACCAGAATTAAACCGGGTCTAAACTAGGACTATACCAGGTCTAACCAGGTCTAAACCAGGACTACAGTATACAATGTCTAAAAACAGGTCTAAAACTAGAAAAGCACTCAGAGAGCGCAGACCTCCGCCAAGGACTACCACCATTTTTTATATAAATTGCGATAAAATCAGTCTTCTGGATCAGATCCGGATCAGCCTTTGGAATATGAAAGAATATTGGAAGTTGGAATATGAAGTATCCCATTGTCCATCCCTGAGTCAAATTTCATGGGGTTTGGTCAATAATTAACCGAGATATTGAGAAACAAAATTTTTGGCCCCATTTACCACAATGTTAACTCAAATTTCAAAGTGATCCAGAATCCAGGATTTCTTCCGGATCACCCCCAAAATGAAATCATTTCTTCCTTTTCACATTTCCAACAAATCCTGAAAATTTCATCAAAATCGGTCCATAACTTTTTGAGTTATGTTGCTAACAGACAAACAAACAAACAAACAAACAAACAAACAAACAGACAAACGCCGGCAAAAACATAACCTCCTTGGTGGAGGTAATTAGGAATAAACAGGACTAAAACAGGATTTTGCCAGGTCTAAATCAGGACTAAAACAGGTCTAAAACAGGTCTAAAAGCAGGTCTAAAATTAGGAATAAACAGGACTAAAACAGAATTTTGCCAGGTCTAAAACAGGTCTAAAAGCAGGACTAAAACAGGTCAAAAATTAGGACTAAAACAGGATTTAGTCAGGACTTAACCGTGCTCCTCAAATCCCCCTCCCTCCCCAATCCCCTGCCTGTTCGAGAAATATTGTCTAATATAAAACCTCTCCATGGTGCAAAAAAGGTTGGGGACCACTGATTTAAACCACCAAAGTGTCCAAACACAATGAAAACAGTTCATTCTTAAAAGTAACAATGGGTACAACCATCTTGAATTCTGTCTCAGATCCTCGCTCGGTCTCCTTTGAGTTCTCCCGAGTTCTGTCGTCCAAAGAAATGGGTATGTGAGTGTTCAGTTCACTCTTCACTGTGATTGGTTGAAGCCACTTGTCACTCACTCGGAGCATGACACAGACTGACCAATAGGATGAGTGGGAGGGCAAAAGAAAGTGTCTTGTTTCATTATTTAAGCAAAACTCTGAATCTTGACATAATAATAATCTCCAAATAGTTAGGTAATATATTGTTTTACATACTTTTCCATGAATCGTGCAATGTAATTTTAGGGCACTAGTACAAATGGTATTGGTTGGTGACACTGCACACTGTTGTTGTACCCTTGGGCAAGACGCTTCAGCCACTTATGGATGCTGTAATGTGATGAAAGAGCCAAAACCAGTTAGAGTAGACAAACAATTATAACTTTACTTATATATATACTTTTGTTTTATATATTACTCAAGATGAAGTAATAAACTACTCATAGACGTACAGTTTATTCGAAAAGTTGTCACGAGATTCGGCTCACGAGAATAAGACTAGACGAGATTTTGATACAGTTTTAATAAATAAACGGTTCCATTCAGCTCCCAATTTTGGATTCACAATTTCTTATGTGTTTAATTTTACAGTTTTGGTGTCACTGTAGCACTGCTTTTTTTTTTTTTTTTTTTTGGTATTACAGCTTCTCAAGAGGAGTTACTCAGCAAAGTGAACCTTTTTATCCAAGGCAAATGTAAAAATATGTGGAAAAAACATCTCACAAGGTCATTTTTCTCTTGTGTGTACAATCTTGAGGCAATTTTGTGAGATTTTGTGGCACGAAATCTTGTCCCATCCCTGTTACTCAAGTAATTGTGTTATTCATGGTGTTTTGAGAGGCCAATCGCATAAAAAGGCAGCCACATTTTTGCCAGTCTTCCCCAAACACAAGCTGGATTTTGCAGGAAATCTGACTATAGCTTCCAGGTTTAACTTTGTCTTTGAATCCTGGTTGATCAGTGCTTTTTTTTTTTGCTCATGTAAGTATTTCACTGTGGTATAAAGTCATTGTAAATTCTCCTAAGCTCTCAAAGCTTCGTAAACATCAGTATATTTTGATTCTAGGTTAACTCTGCTTTTTGCAACACAGCAGAACTTTATATACGGTTTGCCCCAGAGAGAAAGAGAAAGTGAAAGAGAGAGAAAGAGAGGGTGAAGGAAGGTTAAATGAAACGACAAAAGCTGCAGTTTTAAAGGGGAGACACACAGATGCAAATTCCAGCTCTGATCCTCGTGAGCGGGGTTTGCATTCTGAGTATTTTCGACAAGATTTTTTTTTTTTTGTTGTTGTCGACTTTTAGGCTTTAGTTAAAACTGGTAAATTCTTAAAGGGACAGTACACAATTTATTCCTCACATCAGAAGACTGCGGCCAAGTGTATTTGTAATGAAATACAGTTATATTTCTGGATGGGCTTGTAGTGGCTGTGCGTTTATGCAATCACCTCACAACAAGAAGGTTCTCGGTTCAATTCCTGGATTTAAAGCGTCCCTGTTTGGACTGTTTCTTTATCTCGGTGGGTTTTATTTGGGTGGTCAGGCCAAAACATCCACTCTGGACCATGAGTGACTCCTATAGCTAAACTATTTGTCAAATTCCACTCCAACCCAGTGTTTTTTAATCTTTTTTTGAATCATGGTGCACTTTTGCTGCTGAGAATGTGCTGTAGCTCACCATCCACTTAAACATTATCAAATGACACCAATCTGAGCAAAATAAATCCATCAGTAAAAGTGTGAATCATGTCTGGCAGTAGGGATTTGGCTACAGTGGTCATTTTTTTGTCTTGTTCCGCTTTAGAAATTTACTCTGAACACTCCAAAATGCCAAATTATAATACTAAAAAGTGGAGTTAATATGACAAAGTGAGATTCAGGAGCAGGACCACGCCTCAACCTTCTTCTTATTCTCTCCAGCGAACCACAGCGAACCTCAACCACACCTTCAATTACTCCTATTTATACAGGACTATCCCGACAACACCGTCTGTCTCTGTTCTCTCGACCTCCTCTCTCCCACCTCGTTTTTCTTGTTCATCTTTCAGCCCAAAAACATCATCTACAAAGGAGGGAGGGTCCTGAATCGGCTTGGGCATCCTGAGTCTCCTCCCAATCATCACATACGTCCATTGTCTATAAACATCTATATTCTATTCCCTTGTTGTGGTGTGGTCCTTGGTAGTGAAATAACTTCGTGAAATCGTTAACTCAAATTGGATTTCTTTTCCAAAGCATCCCTGGCAATACCTCAATACTCAGTGTAATTTATTTAGCTATATGTAAATATTTGTAAAGTTTCGTCATCAATGTACAGCAACCAGATATATATATATTTTTTATTACTTTATAAACTTTGTAATGAATGAATAAGTGTGGGTTAATATAATTTTTTTTCTTCTTCCCACTTCTTTTCAAGAAACGTGCTTTTCTGTTGTTTGCAGTGTATATGTAGGATGTATGTGATTATTGTTTCTCTCTTCGCACAAACTCCAAATAAAAATTTATTAAAATACTGGCTGAAAATCAAAGCTCTAACTCAAATTCACAGAGGCCAAAATTAAAAACTGGGACTAAGTCGTGGGCCAGACTAAATATTTATTGAAAAATTTCAACAACATCTGCATATTTTCTCTTCTTTCAAGATATGTAATGTTAAATTTTTTCTTATTAAAATAAATGTTTAATAATAGTTTTGCTTGAACACTGAATCCAGAACAAGCAAAATATAAAATAATAACAAAATTTTAAATAAATATTGTCTGTAGCCGGCGGGTCAGCTCTAATACATATTTGATATGATCTCGCGGGCCAAAGATAATTATATTGCGGACTAAATTTTGTCCCCAGGCCTGAGTTTGACATGTCATGCTCTTACCAATTTTCTATTCTGGCTTAATTTGATCAAATCCCATGCTATCCCTTGAATGTTTAGAGCCAGTACTTTATATGAGAAGTCTTTAAAAGTACAAATCAGTTACTCCTGTTTATCACGTTTAGTTCACCAATTTCTTTACCTCTTTTCCTCAAAACAATGTGTCATATAAAGTGCCTGTGTTTTCTCTCTCTCCTCCCGCAGGCCTGAGCAGTGCCGAGTCGCAGCCCCAGGGGAAGGCCTCGTGTGTGGGGGTGAACTGGAGCGAGGGGGACCTGCAGCTGGAGGTGGTGGACACGTGGACCGGGCGGAGGAGAGACTCAGGGACGCCATCACGGCTCTGCAAACACGCCATGTTCACGCGCTGGAGCCGACTGCAACGCAAGGTGAGACGCGCAGGTTTGACTATCAAGACAAATAAAGAACTGTATCGCTCTGTTACCAAACCGAAAAATTTGAAAGTAGATATTTAAAGGACTTTTTTGAGTTTTTACCAATGTTATAAATGACCTGAAGTTGTGTTTTGTTTCATCCGTTAGTCCAGAGTTGTTTTCTCTGAGCACTAAAAAATGCTCTGTTTACATTTTGCCAGTTTTGATGCGTCATAGGTAAAACTGCGTACTTTTCTCGTGCAGTTTTTAAGCTCGTAAACCATCATCTTACGCTTTTTGACACATGGCATTCACAAGGGTAAGGTGTTTACTTTCCCATTGTTAATTTCCATTTCTGACACCAAAGGGAGTTCCAAAACCTAAATACTTAATTGGAAATAGAGGTATAGTTTATGAAGATGTTATTCTAAGTTAGAAAATGTGAAACACTTATCCCAAGCTGAACTTATCCTAGGCCCTGTCCACACTAGTACGTATTCGAGTTGTTTTCATTGTGCATGCAGTGTTCGTTCACACTAATCTGATTGAAAAACGGCTCCAGAGACGGAACGATCTGGTGCCGTCAGCTCCTACGAATTCTTCTGAGTACGGATCTGATCAGACACCGTGTGGACGCCTGAAAACGCTGATACTCTGATGTAGGTCTAAGCACCGCGAAGTAAGAGGCTAGAATATATCTTCTGCCATCAGTTAAGTGTTTCCTAACCCAACTTAGACAGTGAGCTTAACATCAAAATGGTCCCAGAAATGACAGGATGCAGCTTTATATCTTTTTTTTTTGTAAAACTGTAAATTCATACACATTCATATATACGATCTGTGCGTACAACCTGCAGACGTATAATCTCTGAAAAGTTTAACATGAACCATCTCCAACACGATAGAAACACAGAACAGACTCACCATCAGCAGAACACCCGTCTGTCACAGAAAGAACACTCATATTCCACTGAGTCGTGTCCTTTACTCCGACAGAAGCTGAACTGGATCCAGCGACACAATAGCGAGCCATTTTTTGAGCCATGTGGTTTTAAGTTTTGTTTCTGTAAAATGTAAACAAATGTGCTCAAAGCTGTGTGGACAGGGAAGACTTACGAACACAGAAACGACGTGTTCCGATACGGTGATACACAGATTTGTTTCAGTGTAAACTTCCTACTTCCTAATCTCACTTGTTTCTAGCAGTTTTCATTAAACATTAAACACTGCGTAGTTTTGCTATTAAGTGCCGACAGAGCTGCAATTAAATTTAAAAAAGCAAAACTGACTCATTTGTAAGACTAATGTCAGGTACCTCGTTTTAATCATAGACACACCAGTGCGTTGTCTTTGTGTTTGAGTCTGATTTGTTGATATTTGTGTAACATCTGCTCTGGCCGCTCCTCTTTAACCCTCACGGTTTTTCTCAGACTGTGTGAGGCGAAATGGAGCTGTAATGTGTTAATGAAACATAAAGCAGAATTATTTGGAGGTTCAGAGTTCCCCTCCTCTCTCTCTTTCTCTCTCTCTCTCTCCTCCTCCCTCTTTCCTCTGTGGGTTATATAAGGGCCACGCTCCACCACTCCACTTAATCTACAAAAGAAACTTCAGCTTTTTCTCTGTCTCTCTTTCTCCCTCTCTCTATATCTCTTTTGTTTATTTCTGTCTCTCTCTCTCTCTCCTTCTCTCCTTCCCCTCCTCCATCTCGTCCCTCGCACTCTCTATCTTTAACTCACTCTCTCTTCCTCCTTCTCTCTCCCCTCTACTCACCCATCACTCTCTGATTCTCTGTCTCTTGCTTATTTCTCCTTACTTTCTGTCCTCTCTCTCTCTCTCTCTCTCTCATATCCTCTCTGTCTCTCTCTCTCCTTCCCTCTCCCTCCCCTTTCTGTTCTCTCCAACTTTCTCACTTTCGCTCTCTTTAAGTTCACTCTGTCCCACTCTCTGCCCTCTCTCACGTTCCCTCTTTCTCTGAATCTCTCTCACCCTCCCTCCATTTATCTCTCTCCTCCTCTCTTCCCCTTTATCCCCATCTTTATCTGTCTGTCTTCTCCTCTCTCTTGCTCTCTCTCTCTTTCTCCCGCTTTCCTCACCCGCCTCTCATTCTCTTTCTCTCTCTTACTCTCTCTCTTACTCTCTCTCTCTATCCCTCCATCTTCTTCTCCTTTCTTTTCTCTCTCTCTCTCTCTCTCTCTCTCTCCCCTCTCTCTCTCCGTCCCTCTCTCTCTCCTCTCTTCCTCTCCTCCCTCTCCCTCTCTCCCTTTGTTTCTCTCTTTACATCATTCTTTCTCTCCCCATCACATGCTTTCTGTACCCCTCTCTTTCACTGTTTCTCTCTCTTTCATCATTCTCTCTCTCTCTTCACCCCCTCTCTTTCTCTTTCCCTCGCTCTCTCTTACTCTCTCTCTATCCCTGCATCATCTTCTTCTCCCTTTCTCTCTCTCTCTCTCTCTCTGTCTCCCTTTGTCTCTCTTTCCATCATTCTCTCTCTCTTCACCAAACTCTCTTTCTCTTTCCCTCTCTTACTCTCTCGCTCTCTTTGTCTCTCTCTTTCCCCTTCCCTTTCTCTCTCATCTCTCTCTCCCTCCCTCTTTTTCTCCCTCCCTCTGTCTCTCCTCTCTTCCTCTCTCCCTTTCCATAATTCTCTCTCTCCCCACTGCAATCTTTCTCTTTCTCTCTCTTACTCCCTCTCTCTCTCCTTCTCTCTCTCTCCCTCTCTTTCCATCCCTCCCTCCTCTCCCTCCCTCTCTCCTCTCTTCCTCTCTCCCTTTCCATTATTCTCTCTCTCACTGCAATCTCTTTCTCTCACTCTGTCTATCTCTCCCTCTCCTCTCCTCCCTTCCTCTCTCTCTCTTCTCTCTTTCTCTCTGTCCTTCCCCCTCTCCTCTCTCCCTCCCTCCTTCACTTTTCTCTCTCTCTCTCTCTCTCTCTCTCTCTCCTCTCTCCCTTTCCATAATTCTCTCTCTCCCACTGCAATCTTATTTCTATCTCTCCTCCCTCTCTCTCCTCCTTTTTCTCTCTCTTTTCCTCTACCTCTTTCTCCTCTCCTCTCCTCCCTTCTCTCTCTTTCTCTGTCTCCCTTTGTCTCTCTTTCCATCATTCTCTCTCTCCTCACCAAACCCTCTGTCTCTTTTCTTCTCTTACTCTCTCTCCCTCTATCACTCCATCTTCTCTCTCCTCCCGCCCTCTCACTCCCTCTCTCTCTCTCTCTCTCCATTTGTCTCTCTTTCCCCTTCCCTTTCTCTCCCCTTTATCTCTCTCTTCGTCTCTCTCCCCCTCCCTCTTTTTCTCCCTCCCTCTGTCTCTCCTCTCTTCCTCTCTCCCTTTCCATAATTCTCTCTCTCTCCACTGCAATCTTTTCTCTTTCCTCTCTTCTTCTCTCTCTCTCTCTCTCCCTCTCTCTCCCTCTCTCTCTCCTCCCTCTCTCCTCTCTTCCTCTCTCCCTTTCCATCATTCTCTCTCTCACTGCAATCTCTTTCTCTCACTCTGTCTATCTCTCCCTCTCCTCTCCTCCCTTCCTCTCTCTCTCTTCTCTCTTTCTCTCTGTCCTTCCCCCTCTCCTCTCTCCCTCTCCTCTCTTCACTCTCCTCTCCTCTCCCTCTCTCCCCTCTCTCTCTCTTCTCTTCCTCCCTCCCTTTCCATAATTCTCTCTCTCCCCACTGCAATCTATTTCTATCTCTCCCCCTTCCTCTCCTCTCTCTCTTTCCTCTACCTCTTTCTCTCCATCCCTCCCTTCTCTCTCTTTCTCTGTCTCCCTTTGTCTCTCTTTCCATCATTCTCTCTCTCCCCACTGCAATCTCTTTCTATCTCTCCCCCTTCCTCTCCTCTCCTCCCTTTCTCTCTCTCTTTCCTCTACCTCTTTCTCTCCATCCCTCCCTTCTCTCTCTCTCTCCCCTCTCTCTCTTTCTCTGTCTCCCTTTGTCTCTCTTTCCATCATTCTCTCTCTCCTCACCAAACCCTCTGTCTCTTTTCTTCTCTTACTCTCTCTCCCTCTATCACTCCATCTTCTCCTCCTCCCGCCCTCTCACTCCCTCTCTCTCTCTCTCTCCATTTGTCTCTCTTTCCCCTTCCTTTTCTCTCCCTTCCTCTCTCTCTCTGTCTCTCTCTCTCTCTCTCTCCCTCCCTCTCTCTTCTCTCTCTCCGTCTTGTCTCTCCGTCTATCTCCATTGTCTTCCTCGGTGACAATAGGAATGCGGGGAGAGCAGTGCGATGTTCAATTGCTTGTGAAATTTAAATGGGGGAGATTACCCAGCTGTTTGAACCCCTCCTCCCCCTCATCCCCCTCTCCTCTCCTCCGCCCGAGCTCCACCCAAACACATTTGTGCTGCCTCATTCGCTCTGTTTTGCTATTCTTTCTCTTTTTACTTCCGTCTCTCGCTCGAAATTACCCCAATTCCATCCGTAGGTACAGTGCGGTTGATGGGAGCAATAAAGACAAATATGCTCTCGGTTAGAAAGAGAGTGACAGCGCGGGCAGACCTGCTTCACACCCAGTACACGGGGAGTTTGAATGTTCTCCCTGTGTCTTCGTGGGCTTCTTTTTGGTGTTTCGGTTCCCCCCATTTACCTAAGAAACACCCACAATAGTCCAGTCTTCCAGTTTAAAGGGCCCATATTACACTGTTTTCTGATCTATGTTAGAATGTGTTTTTAGCCCAAGAAAACATATTGAATTAATTTTTGTACTACTAATATATTTTTTCTATATATTTTTTTTTCTGTGAGTAATAAAGACAACACTAGTAATAATTTCTAGATCTTGGACTAATATTTCTTGGGAAACAAAGACATAATACACAGGTGTCAAACATGCGGCCCAGGGGCCAGATCCGGCCCTCCAAGACCTTTAATCTGGCCCTCTGCTGATTTTCTACTAAAATATTTTAATTATATTTTCTATTAAAATATTGTTAATTTTCTGTGGTGTTTATCACAGCAGCGTCTCCAGCGTCTCTGTACGTGGCCCTCCCACCAGAGCACAAATGAAGACTTGTCTCTTTCCAAACGCTCTTAAAGGACGATCGTTTTGACTGTTGACCGTGACACCCTCATCAGAAAAATGTCCAACATGAGAAAAGTGGACCCGAGTGCAGGATTTTCCAAGAAAAATGTACTTATTCCTATTTATACAAGTTAATGTTAAACAAGTTCATGTTAAGGCTTTGTGTTGAAATTGCATTTTTCTTAAAGTTTCAGGTTGTTCATAATATTATAATATTTTGTAAAAGAAAGAGTTCATCAATTAAAAAAGATTTCTGTAATAGATTTGTGTTTCTCTGCACAAATATTTGAACTTATTGTTATTTTTGGGGTTTATATGAGGTGAGTTTTCTGATCATAGTCGGTTGGATACGGCCCCCAGACCAAAATGAGTTTGACACCCCTGACATAATATAATGGAATGGAAATGGACCAATCACACTTTTTCTTCCAATGGTATCTGGGTAAATCAGTGACTCCCCCTGTAGCACTGAACTAAAGAAAGACCTGCAAGGCCTTCGGTGGCTGGAACGAAGACCTGTGCGGTTCGAGTCAATGTGGGGATGAATTTGAGATTGACAGCTGTCTTAGCCAATCATATTTCACTGAGTTTTGGGTGGGATCATATCACGACATCTCCGGACCTTCATGAATACCCTTAGACAGCAAATATAAGTGTGACTGCAGCGTCAAGCCATCTGTCCATCTGTAGACGTCGAACAGTTGTTAATGATTATTAAACAAATATATGAAGAAAGCGAACGTGTGATTTGCTTCATTTAGTTTTGTTTTTAATAAATGATGTCATGATAGTCAGCAGTTGGTCCTAGTGAAGGTCCAGGTCCAGGTCCTCAGTTCGCCACTGGTTTTTAAACTCCACACACCTTCACTAGAATCATTTGGATTATTTCAGTCCTGGAACTTCCCATCTCTACTGAACTAAAGGTAAAACGAAGCTGTTAACTTGAAAACTACAGCTTCGTGACATCACGAGGTGGAACAGAGCATTTTGAGCTTTGGAGATGTAGACAGACTTACTAAAACATGTGCAAATGAAACAAAACACAACTCCAGGTCTGCCAAGAAATAGATGTAGTTAGAGCTGGATCACTGCTGAAGTGGAATAATAATCGGGCAAATAACTTACTCAATCTGAGGCCCTGATGAAGACGCAAGTTTGACATGAAATAAAATAAGAGCAAAGCATATGGGAGTGCCTCAGATCTCCTTTTTTTTTTTTTTTTTTGATAATTTTCTTGCAAAGTGTCTTTGAAAAACCATGTAAATATGTTTTTTTTTTATTATTATTAGTACTATTATTATTATTTATGACTATTTCAAATGAATAACCTTTCTCTTTCTCCCTTTCTCTCTACATCTCTCCTTCTCTCTCTGCCTCTCTCTCCCTCCCTCCCCTTTCCTTCCTCCCTCTCTCTCTCTTTTTCTTCTCTCCTCCCTTTCTCCCCGCCTTCTCTTCCCTCTCTCCTCTCTCCTCTCTCTTCCTCCTCCTCTCCTCTCTCTCCCTCTCTCTCCTCCCTCTCTCCTCTCTCTCTCTCCTCTCTCTCCTCCTCTCCTCCTCCTCCCTCTCTCTCTCCTCCTCTCTCCTCCCTCCTCTCTCTCCTCCTCTCCTCTCTCCTCTCTCTCTCTCTCCTCCTCCTCTCTCTCCTCTCTCTCCTCTCCTCCTCCTCTCTCTCTCCTCTCTCTCCTCCTCCTCTCCTCTCTCCTCCTCCTCTCTCCTCCTCTCTCTCTCTCCTCTTCCTCTTCCTCCCTCTCCTCTCTCTCCTCTCCTCTCTCCTCTCTCTCCTCTCCTCCTCTCCTCCTCCTCTCTCTCTCTCTCTCTCTCCTCTCTCTCTACTCTCCTCTCCTCCTCTCTCTCCTCTCTCTCTCTCCTCCTCTCTCTCTCCTCCTCCTCCTCTCTCCTCTCCTCTTTCTCTCTCTCCTCTCTCTCCTCTCTCCTCCTCCTCCTCTCCCTCTCTCTCTCTCCTCCTCTCTCCTCCTCTCTCTCTCCTCCTCTCTCCTCTCTCCTCTCTCTCTCTCTCCTCTCTCTCTCTCTCCTCCTCTCTCCTCCTCTTTCTCCCTCCCTCCTCCTCTCTCTCCTCCCTCTCCTCTCCTCCCTCTCTCTCCTCTCTCTCCTCTCTCTCTTCTTCTCCCTCAAAATCTTCTCTCTCTGCCTCTCTCCTCCCTCTCTCCTCTCTCTCTCTCTCTCTCTCTCTCCTCTCTCCTCCCTCTCTCCTCCCTCTGTCTTCAGCTGGGCCTGCAGCTCTGCGGTTCGGCGGACGGTCCGCTCTTGTACAGCGAGGCGAAGTTGGCGGCGCGTCAGTACCAGGCGGTGAAGCAGCAGTGGATCCGCTCGCTCCAGGACTCTGGTTTAGGCACGTGGGTCCGGAAGCCGCCGGAGCAGGACCACTTCCTCTTATCCATCTGAACTACGGAGAGACAGACTTTCGAGTTCCAACTTTATTTTTTTAGAGTAAGACGTCTTCAGTGTCACCGTCAACCGCCACCGATCACCACGCGTCGCCCGACCTCGACCTTTGAACTTTAGCCTTTAGCATTTTGTGTCACGTCAGTTTGAAGCCCCTTTAAATACATCGTGTGTGTACAGATGGAGTCAGCCATGTTTTCAAGGCAGCCCAGCCAACAAAACTAAAGAAGGATCATTATTGTTTTACTTATCGTCGCTCGTACATGATCAAGTTTTAGAATTTACCGTAAAATACCAAATAATATCCGGGGTGTTTATTTTATTTGTCTCAATCACTTAAGAGACCAGGCTTTTATTTGAGACCAGGCCTTAATCTGGGGCAGGAGATTAATTCCTTCCTCACAAAAATCTTGGTCGACAAAACTGGGAAAAAATGGTACTCAAATTCTGTTAACCAGTTTGACGATAATTTACAGTTTTTACGTTATACAATGACCTGGCGACTACTTTGCCGACTATTTCTGCTTTTCCTCGCCGCTTTGCCACAACTTTTCTTACGCCACAGCAGCTACGATCACATTCCTGCTTCCTCCCAATTGCCAAACTGAAGTAATATCACCAAAACGTCTAAAAACTGCTTCCATTTCCTGTCCATTATGTCGCACGATCTTTCTTTTTTTACGTCATTTCGAGGTGGGGACTTGCAACTTGTGACTTGGACTCGAGTCAGACTTGAGTCACTATTTTTAAGACTTGAGACTTGACTTGATAAAATGGACAAAGACTTGAGACTCGATTTGGACTTGAAGGTCAATGACTTGGGACTTTGACTTAGACCTGAGATGACTTGAGAAGCACTTTTAAATCTGAATTCTTTCTATTCTGATCGTAATGATTCACTCTAAGATCCTGTCAAAACATTTAAAAAGGAAAAATTTTAACTCTTATATACACTATAAATACTCATATACAAATATACTATGACTTTATAATTACAGTTTATCTTAAAATTCATATAAATGGTAAAAATCTAAGCTACATTTGGTACTTTTTTTGGTTTAAAGACTTGAAATGACTTGAAGCTCAAAGTAGACAACTTGGACTTGACTTGGACTTATGGGCCGGTGACTCGAGACTCAACTTGGACTTGCCTGTATTTGACTTGGGACTTGACTCGGACTTGAGGTCAAAGACTTGAGACTTACTTGAGACTTGAAAATCAACGACTTGGTCAATCCGTGTATCATTCGTTCATTCGTTTTTCAATATAAAACCAAAAATAAGAAAACGAAAAAACAACAGTTTTCTTCGCTATTTGTCTCCAAAACCAAAATGAAAAAACGGATAATGATTTGTTTTTTCAGTTTTCGATTTTGTGTTTAAATGAAGAATGGAAAAAACGGATAACGGCCGTTTCCCGTTTACGTGACTTCCGTGACTGCGATGCCGGACTTTTTGCACCGCATACGGACTGAATCAGGATGGATCCAGGTCCGAGACCAGAGCGGGACTGAGACCGGGACAGAGCTGCTCTGGTCCTCCGCGCTCAAGAACCGCGGCTGGTTCCGAGGTGGAGCAAAGCCTCCGACTGACGCTTTCACACCAATGAAAATGAATCGAACTAAGAGCTTTTGGTTCAAATGGACCAGGTCCGGGACCAGACCGGGACCAAAGCGTTACTGAGACTGGGACCAGACCGAGCCCTGAGCAGGCCTGAGACCGAGACCGAGACAAGACCAGGACCAGACCGGGACCAGACCGGAGGCTCAGAGCCCACGGCAGGACCGGAGCTCGAAGCTGAGGCTCGGACCCCCGTGGAGGCTCGGAGTCAAAGCTCAGAGTCCGCCCTGGTCCCGCTCTGGTCCCGCTCTGGTCCCGGTCTCAGTTCCGCTCTGGTCTCGGTCTGGTCCTGGTCTGTCCTGGTCTCAGTCCCGGTCTGGTCTCGGTCTGGTCTGGTCTCGGACCTGGATCCGTCCTGATTCAGTCCGTTTGCGGTGCAAAAGTTCGGACATCGCAGTCACGGAAGTCACGTAAACGGGAAACGGCCGTTATCCGTTTTTTCCATTCTTCATTTAAACACAAAATCGAAAACTGAAAAAACGAATCGTTATCCGTTTTTTCATTTTGGTTTTGGAGACAAAGAAAACTGTTGTTTTTTTTGTTTTCTTATTTTTGGTTTTATATTGAAAAACGAATGAACGAATGATACACGGATTTTGGTCCCACCTCTGGGCAACAGTAACGTCATCTGGTCCTCCACTTTTTCAGTGAAGGTGACGCAGCGCAGAGAATAAAGCCTATCCACTCCAAGTCACACAACCAGACTGGTAAAGGCAGGACTGACCTGAAGTCAAACTGTGTCGGCTCTAAACATCAGGCTCTCTGTGGTGTTGCTGCACTAATCGTGAGTTCTTGGTTAAATAAAGCACAAAAAACGGGAAATAGGAGTTTGTGCAGCTACAACGACTGCATTAGACTCAGCGTTTATTTGGAACCGGCATTTTTTAAATCAAAACATACACCTGCACCTGCATTTAAAGGGAACCCGGCTATTATTTGGTATTTTACGGTATTTTCATTTTCACGGAAATCAGCATTTATTTTCTTTAAACACAATTAAAATAAGACAAAACTGACCCAGATGTTGCATAACTACAGAACAACTTTGTGTAAAAAAAAAAAAAAGAAAGAAAAAAGTTAAAACATTTTCGGTGGCAACTACGACCAGTTAAAATTCTTATTACATCGATTCTTACTCTATGTCCAGCCAAGATATCGACTGAACCGATATTTGAAAGCCAATATCCAACATCAGCAGTATCAGTATTTGCTCCAATATCCGAGAACAGTATTAGATCAGAGATTCACTATAAAGTCCAATATTTTGTTTAAAATTGTTAAAGGTGCACTGTGTAACTTTTCTGGTGGAAGGTCTGACATCTGCTCGTCTCCATGGTGATGTTATGATGTTAAACCAGTATATCTTGTATTTATTATTCAATTACAGGTGTTTTTATTTCTCAAAACGACCGTAAAAACATGCATTATTACTGTGAGCTGGTCCACTTCTCCACAGATCTGACCTGTAACTTGGCCTGGTGATGTGGCCTGCCTGTCTCCATGGAGATAGTTAAATTCATGCCATACTTTAGGACATTTCAGAGTCGAAGTGGTGGAGCTTCTGCCAGAAAAGTTACACAGTGCACCTTTCATTTCTATGGCAACAGTCCTCGTTTTTCATTATTCTGAAACCCGTGTACAGTGAGTTGTAATACAAAGTGTTGTAGTCAAGACCAAGACCAGTCCGAGATCACAGGGTTCGAGACCAGGACAAGACCAAGACTTTTAAAGGGCAAGACTGAGACAAGACAGAGAGACCACGGCCCCTTGAGACCAAATCAAGACCATCTTCTAATTTTCGACATTTATTTTATTTGTATTTTACAGTTATTTTTGGCACATATATAACATTAGGTAGGTTTATTGTCAACAGCAAGACAAGACCGAATCCAAGGGCCTTCAAGACCAAGACAAAACCGAGTCCAAGCCCCTTCAAGATCAAGACAAGACCGAGGCCAAGCCCCTTGAAGACCGATACAAGACTGAGTCCAAGCAACTTAAAGCTCGAAACAAGACCGAGTCCAAGCACGTTCAATGCCAGACAAGTCTGAGTCCAAGCTCTTTCAAGACCGAGACAAGACCGAGTCCAAATGTCTTCAGTGCCAAGACAAGTTCGGTTCCAAGTGTTTTCAAGATCAAAACAAGACCAAGTCCAAGCGCCTTCAAGACCGAAATGAGACCCAGTCCTAGCAACTTCAAGACCAAGATGAGACCGAGTGCAAGTGACTTTAAGATTGAGACAAGACCAAGTCAAAGCGCCTTCAAGATCCAGACAAGTCCGAGTCCAAGCAACTTCAAGACTGAGACAAGACCGAGTACAAACGCGCTTGAGTCCGAGATGAGACCAAGACTCGAAGCCGGTCTCGACACCAAGACTTAGAAGATGGTCTTGATTTAGCCTGTGGTTTCAGTCTTGTCTCGGTTTCGACCCTCAGTGGTCTTGGTCTTGTCTCGGTTTCGGGACCCTGTGGTCTTGGACTGGTCTTGGTCTCAAGTACTACAACACTAGTAATACACTGTAAACCCGAACGTTCATAGTAATTAAATAGATTAAGTTTTGTATACTCAAAGATTTAGAAATGGTCCTAATAACTTAATTATGTCAAGTTGCTGTAGCATGTTCTTCTTTTTGAGTAATTTTAACTAATATTTTTAGATTAAAGGGACCTATTGTCACTTTTAATTCAGATGTTATCAAAAGGTACAAGTAGGAAGCCGTCCAGCCTTTTAAGTTCTGGAAGATTGTGACTTTAAAGTTCATCAACGTCAAATACTTTAGGCAATTTTTTTGAGTTCTGGCAGCTTATTCGGGTTTACAGTGTATGTGAAACCTGCAGCAACGGGCCTTTTATTTAATATTAGTAACAGAGACGTGTGAAGCGGTCAGAGAGACAAGAAAGCAATAGACTTTCCTTTTCACCTTTTGCTTTGAGTTATTTCAGCTGCTCTTATAAAAACCTGACATTCTCTGCTAACACACACATTTTTGAACGCACCGCCCGCTAAGAGAAGCCGGGAGAGGCAGAAGAGGTAGAAAAGATTCGCCGTAACCTTGGGCCCCATGAAAGACGAACCCTATCATGTCATCAGCCATTTGCGGGGCCCCAGGATCCCGCTGAAGAGAGGGGCCACGGGGGACGAGAACAGACACACACCAGACACATATATACGGAAATATACCGAGAAATATCGACGGACGGGGGGAGGGGAGGGGCAATTATGGAGTTGTCACGGTGACGAGGGAGGGCGGGGGGAGACGGGGGGAGACGGGGCTTCACCTGTCACGTCAGGGTGATGTGTCCATGCTGTTTATAAGGTGCCTTTATGTTCAGCGGCACGGGTGTCATTTTAAAGCAACGTAATGGTTTCTTTTCACGGGT